GACGATGGCGCAAGAGCCGACCTTTTCTGCGGCCCATGCTCCTACTGTCGAGGATGACAGCGGTGATGCCATGGACCATCGAGCCTTCCCTTGTTGGGAGGATATAAGGAGAGGTGTCCGCCAAGCTACCATGTTGCCTCTTCAATGACAACCTCCTCCTCGTTAACCCTGCCTGCATAAGAACAAAAAAAGAGGAAGCCATGAATCAGGAGATGAGCTCAGATTACCATGCGAAGATGAGTAAACGGTGAAGAAAGATCTCACCTGTGACGGGTGATGGGAGCCATGATCAACCTCTTCTGCTCTGTAGAAAGCCGGCGGGGTGGGGGCTCGACTAGGTGGGTTCCTCTGCAGCTTTGCTGCCGGACGGGGCAGAGTGATCTGGGGCTCGAGGAGAAAGAGGAATGGTCCTGGTACGCTAGGTTTTCGAGAGAGGATTGGTCCTGGCTCTTCTCGTCGCTCCTCTAGTTCATCCGATCTACTCAACACACTGAATGTGGGATCAAATGGTAACCGGGACCACTGCCATGGCATGGAAGAGATCAGCCAAGTAGACCAGCGGGAATCAACCTCCTCATGTCACCCTCATCCAATCAAGAACAACCCACCCTCAGCCAATCATTCAAGTGCCTCCACAGAAACACATGCGCTGCTCGCTGCCCCCGCAGCCTCACGACCCCACCCGTCATCCTCTCTTGAAGCGGACATGAACGTGGAAAACACCGGACGGTTGACCAGCCGCCAGCAGCCAAAAAATCATTTTAGTTAATCGATCGGGTGGTGAAAAAGGCAACGCGCGCAATGTATCCAGAACGGTGGGCAGTCTAGCGCCATTTATATTAGAAATGTCATGGTGTGTTCTCGTCCTGATATGTCATTTGCAATCAGTTTGCTCAGTTGATACACATTATCCCTGGTAAAGAACATTGGAAGGTTGTTCAATGGATTTTCAGGCATCCTCGTGGCACTTCCCATGCTTGTTTGAAATTTGGCAGGACGGGTGAGGGACTAGTTGGCTATGTGGATTCAGATTTTCCTTCAAACGATATGGATAAGAGGAGGTCCCTTAAATCATTGTTCATTGTTGGTGGTTGTGCCATGAGTTGGAGGGCAACGCTGCAGCCAATTGTTCCCTAATCTACCACTTAGGCAGAATACATGGCTATTGGAGAAGCATGTAAAGAATCAGTTTGGCTGAAAGATTTGTATGCTGAGCTTTGTGGAGATAATTCTTGCATTAATCTATTTTGTGATAGTCAAAGTGCCATATACCTTACTAAAGATCAGATGTTCCATGAGTGAACAAAGCACAATGATATTAAATACCATTATGTTCAAAACATTGTTGCTCGAGGTAAACTGAAAGTATGCAAAAAATAGTACTCATGATAATCCTGTTGATATGTTGACAAAGTCAGTTTGTGTTGCTAACTTTGAGCTTTGCTCAGACTTAGTTGGTATAACACATTAGCCCTAGCGGCTTTTTTGGCGTCGAATGTGTTTTATTTTTTTCTTCGGGGAAAAGGATCTTGTTCATGCCACAATATGGAATTTGTCTCAAGGGGTAGTTTGTTAAGTTGTGATCCAAATTCAAGTGTAAAGATAAAGGCTAACTTCTATCGAGCGGAGTGGAGCTCCGGCATGTGGCTCGTATACTTGGGGCGGAGCGGAGTCTGAAGTTTGCCGATGTGGGCTTGCCCTTTCGGGGACGCCTGGGGGTGTGCATGGGGGGTGTGGATCAGTATTGACCTAGGTTACCAATGTTATATACACCTCTTGTAAGCCATCGCACGGGATAAGTTGATCTGTTGTAAATCCCCGAAGTTTGTAACCTCTTCCGATATAGTGAAGTTCGTTGGCTGGTGCGCATGTTTTTTCCCTTCGCCTTGAAGGGGTTTTCTACGTTAAAATCTCATGTATCTCTGTGAAGATTTCGTTCTTCATTGTTTTGATCGCGTGTTATATCTCTAACAACTGCTCTCTTCAAAGGCCTGTGCCTAATCGAATCAATTGGTTATCTAGGTCTGGTCTCTCTATTATGCAATTCTCATAAATTGTTTTCAGATTGCATATTGGATTTGCTCAATTTCCATACATCACTGCTTCAGGGAAGCTAATTACGTGGGACACAATTTAGCTAGACATGCTTTTGTTTCTAATTCTGCTGTTTTTTGGATGGTGATGCTCCTGGTTTCATTATCCTTGGTGTGTGTGTGTGTGTGTGTGTGTGTGTGTGTGTGAAACGATATACTATATGTATAGAGAAAATCTATCTATATGTATGAAACGATATATGTAAATTCGAAACGTTCGGAATTTGGGAACATATCTGAACGATTCTAATCCCGTCAGTTTTGAATCTAACGATCGCCGCAAGCCGTTCCAACTGTCCCTCTTTTCCGCAATCCGAAAATCACGCTCTATCCCCGATATCCGCAACTCTCTTGCTTGGGAGGTCTCCTTTTAATCTCAGTAAAAAAAAGGCAAACTTGGGGACTCGTACCTAGGACATGGTGGGTGAGTAGTATTAGCTCAAGCCCAACAAGCATCTAGGCTAGCTCTATGATGTGATTAGATACATGTTAGGTTATTTTTATAAATTCAAGTTGAGGCAGGCTCTTGTACTCGCACATCTCATCGATGTTTTCCTGTCTATCATTTCTTTTTTCTACGTTTTTTTACCTAAGAAAATACAGGAGATCCATTTTAATTTGGGAGATTTACTTTCTCTTACACCATGTCGTCGATAAGTTTTGTGTAAAATAGTATGGTAATATGCATATGGCGGACTTGATAACTTAGATACAAACACTACAATAATTTTTTCGCTGGGAAAAAAGTTATTGAATACACACTCTTGATAACTTCCATATAAATATGATGGTAATACAATGCAGACCTAGTAACTTAGGTACAAACACTACGGTAACGTTTTTACCTGCGTCAAAAATGTTGTTGACTACACACCCCTATAACTGATGTATAAATACAATGGTAATAGACACACCGCGGACCTGATAACTTAGGTACACAATACCCGTGATGACTTTAATGGCGGATGTTGTTGAAAAACATATTGTCGGTAACTTTCGTGTTAAATAGCACGGTACTATACGTATCGCAAACCT